ATTCTCTTCTTATCTTTAATCTTGGGTAACTTACTTATGATGTGCTTTAGTGTGTGCCTCCTTGGGTCCAACTTCTTTGGAACTCTCTGAGCTTCGTGGACATCTATTTCCTTTGCCAGATTGGGGAAGTTTTCCTTCATTATTTGTTCAAATAAGTTTTCAATTACTTGCTCTTTTTTTTCTCCTCCTGTCAGCCCTATGATTCAGATATTGGAGCTCTTAAAGTTGTCCTAGAGGTTTCAAAGCCTCTCCTCACTTTTTTGAATTCTCATTTCTTCATTCTGTTCTGCTTGGATATTTATTTCTTCCTTTTGTTCTAAATCATTGATTTGAGCCCTGGTTTCCTTCTCTTCACTGTTGGTTCCCTGTATATTTTCCTTTATTTTCCTTTGTATAGCCTTCATTTCTTCCTTCACTTTGTAACCAAGCTCAAACAATTCTGTGAGCATTCTGATTACCAGTGTTTTGAACTCTGCATCAGGTAAGTTGTTTATCTCCTAGTCACTTAGCTCTTTTTCTGGAATTTTGATCTGTTCTTTCATTTGGGCCATATTTCTTTGTCTTGGAGCACCTGTTAAATTGTAAGGGGACAGAGTCTTATGTATTCGCCAGGGCTGGACAACCCTCTTGGTTGTGTAGTGGCACTGTCTGTGGGGGAGGAGTCAGAGATGGAACAATGCTGCTAGCTTGCTTCACTCTAGCTCCACTTTCCAATGAACCTTCCTATGAGACTGGCAGTTTCTCCTGCCTTTGCAAACCGCACCGTATTTTACAGCTAGAGGTTTTGAGTCTTTAGTTTTCTGGTGAACGAGGCCCTCCTTGTCCTTGCTGTTACTGCCTTGCCATGGGTCCTCTCTGCCCACCCAGTTGCCCCTCTCTGCCCCTCCTACTGGCCTGGATGAATGGGTCTTTAACTCCTTCATTGTTGCAGTTCCATGCAGTTTGCAGAACTGCAGTTCTGGCTGTTCTGGTTGTTTATTTTTTTTTTAAATTGGTTGTTACCCTTCTTTTGGTTGTGGGAGGAAGTGAAGCATCTCTACCCATGCCTCCTTTGTGGCCGGAGCCTGAATAATTGTTAATCACTGCCGTGCAACCTATTAAGTATCACATAATCTCCAAGATGCTAGGGATACAAGTCCCTGTACTTGAAGATCTCATACATACACTAAACATAATAGAAAAATAAATAATAAAGGAGGCCTTCTTTACCTTTTTTCAAAAATTTAAACATTTAAATATTTAAAAATTTCAACTGAGACTTTTAGTTTCTTGTCGAGTATGTGAGCAGCTTTGAAGTTGCTGTTCTATCTTAACAACAAGTAAAAAGCTGAAAAAATGAAATATCACCAACTCTTAGATCTACCAGAGAAGTGAAGTCACAGGGCAAACCACTGTTCTCAAAATTAGAGAGAAAATCGCAACTTAGCGGTGCAGCAGAAACCCATAAGCAGAAGTCTCTGAGGGAAAACCTAGTATGTAAAGCAAAAACTAATAGAGCTGCTAGGAGAAACAGATGCACATAAATATAGCCAACAAATCTTTCCAAGAAGTAAAGGTGATTCAATGGAGCCAGGAATCTCTTCAACAAATGGTGCTGGAGCAATTGGACATCTACATGCAAAAAAATGAATCTGGACATAGACCTTACACCCTTCACAAAAATGAACTCAAAATTGACTTTACCCTTACATGTAAAACACGAAATGATAAAACTCCTAAAATGGAAGAAACCTGAGATTATCTCAGTTATGACAAAACCTTTATAGATATAACAGAAAAGACAGGATCCATGAAAAAAATTGATTAAATCCAAACTTCATTAAAATTAAAAACTTTTGTTTTTCCAAAGACATTTTCAAGAGAAGAAGAACCACAGACTAGGAGAAAATATTTGCAAAATACATACCTGACAAAACATTTTTATATGAAATATACAAGGAACTGTTAATATTCAATAAGAAAATGAACAACCTGATTAAAAAATGGGCAAAACACATGAACAGACATATCACCAAAGAAGATTTACAGATGGTAAAGTAAGCATATGAAAAGACTTTCAACCTCACATGCCATGAGGAAATTGCAAATTAGAACAATGAGGTGCCACTGCACATCTATTACAATAGCTGGAATCTGGATCACTGACAACACAAAGTGCTGGCAAGAAAGTGGAGCAACAGGAACTCTCCTTTCATTGCTGGTAGGAACGCAAAATGGTATAGCCACTTTGGAAGATAGTATGGCAGTTTTTTACAAAACTAACCATACTCTTACCGTATAATCCAGCAATTGTGCTTGCTAACATTTATCCAAAAGAGTTGAAAATGATGTTTATGTCCACCTAAAAACCTGCACGTGAATTTTTATAGCAGAAGCAACATGATATCCTTCAATAGGTGAATGGGTAAATAAACTGTGATACATCCATGCAATGGTATATTTTTTATCATTAAAAAAAAGAGCTATCAAAACATAAAAAGACATGGAGGGAACTTAAGTGCATATTACTAAATGGAAGATGTCAATCTCAAAATGCTATACACTTTGATTCCAACTATATAGCATCCTGGAAAAATTAAAACTATGGAGACAGTAAAATGTTCAGAAGTTTGGGGGATGGATGAATAGGCATGGGAAATATTTAGGGTAGTGACACTATTCTATGTACAGTAGAAATGTGTCATTATACATTTGTCAAAATCCACAGAATGCAAGATAGCAAGAATGGACCCTAATGTAAACCGTAGACTTTGGGTGAAAATGATGTGTCACTGCAGGTTCATTGATTGTAGTGAATGTACTACTGTGGTGGGGGATGTCAATAGTAGGGAAGGTTGTGTGCATATGTGGAGACAGAGAATATATGGGAACTCTGTACTTTTAGCTCAATTCTGCTGTGAATCAACAATTGCTGTAATTAAGAAAAAAAATTCACCTAACTCTAGAGATCTATTACCTATATAACCAAACTGCCTCAAAGATTTCTTGAGATTAAAATGATTTCTGGGGAGGAGGTGGAATCTTACAAGAGAACAGCATTTATTGTGAAAGCTTTGGGAAAGGCTGCACATTTGATATATAAAAAAAACCATGAGCAATGAAACATATTGGTTGAAAAGGAATTAAATTTATCTTGATTGCTTACAGAACAGGGCACAGGTTGAAAACCACTTTTAGATTCTTAAAAGCAAACAAAAAAATCAGTGCCCCAATATTTTTCCCAAGACATGAATTTACTACTTTGTTGTTGTTGTCGTTGGATCCAAAAGAGAAATGGCATATGGGAACAAAAACAATAAAAAAAAGTTTAGTATTCTGTGATTATAAATCATTGTGGTTATACAGGTTGGAGCAAAAGTATGGTTATAGTTGTTCATATGGAAAATAAAAATAATTGATAAATAATAATATAGGAATAAACCATTTTGTGTACTGAAAACTGTAAATCTACTTTTACCTACATCATAGTAAATCAACTACTCCTGTTTATTCTAAACATCTGACTATTTATTAAATTGCCACACAAATAAGACTAGTCCCTTTTTCTTTCTCTGGAAAACTAAAAAGACTGGAGCTTCTATTGGACCACCTAGGTCTTTCATACAATTAGTGGAACCATTTTCTTTATATTAAATCTCTGAGCCATGGGTTCAACTTGTTCCCTGCAGGTGAGGCAGATAACAAGCGCTTACTTGGATAATTTATTTGCCTAATTTAGTAAGTTTTAATAAGACACCAATTACCTAGGTAATTAATCAAACCTTTTTGTGAGGGCGCAGTTGCTCTGAATTAGCAATTAGCTGCTCTTTAAAATTTTTTAAAACTTAATCCATTATTTTCGCTAACAAAATAAATCTAAAAACCTGGCATCATCAGTTATGCTTTTTTATTGTACGTTTTAAACTTTCAAAAAATCATAACTTGAATTCGAGTAAAGAGCTTCATGAATTTACTTAAGTATTTTCAATTAAATGCAACAACATGGGTAGGTATTTTAATAGACAACTTTATAAGTTGTCTATTTTCAAGATGCAGTGGTAGGTGTTTTCTTCAGAGGTTACTAAAAAATAAGAGGCTCTGGTCAAAAATTTTGGTCCCATGTCTTGTGGTATTCCTTTAATCTCAGTGTATATTTTTCCAAATTAGGTGCTTGAGTTTCTTCATTAGTTTGCAAAGTGCTAGAATGAAAGATACTATTTTTTTTTTAACATTTTTTTCAGCCTCAAAAAACCCAACACTGACTTTTAAAACTTCGAATTCATTCCTTATCCTCTATCTCTTTTCACTTTGTCTGTGGGAGTTCCATTTCCTTCTCCCTTCTGACATTTCCGCCCCTTTTCTGAAGTCCCATACGAAGCTGAAAAGCAATGGTTCACTACAATGTTTTCTCTGACCATTCCTTTCCGCCCCGTATCAGCAAATTTGGTAACACGGAATTACTGCTTCTTCCAAGTAAAGAAGACGCGAGAGCTTGTTTACACGCTTGGCCAAAAGGCATTTCCTTAAGTTGCACCCCTTTACCAGCCCTTCAATTTCTTTCCATGTCCTCCAGCAAATGATCTACTTTTAAGTACCCCCTCCCCTTCACAGCCTTCTTCTACCTACGGCCTTAGAGCTATAGCCCCACCTACTGAACTCATGTTTTCTCTTCCCTGGCCTTCACTTCCCAAGAGAAAAAATAACTACTTGTTTTCAGGGTTTTAAACGCTGGGACCCACTTTCTTCCACCTCGGACCTACAGACCCCGAGCTTCCCCACCCCGAACTCCACCACCCGCGGCCACTCTCTCCCTGGAGCACCACTTCCGGATCTCGGGTGTCTCCACGTTACCGGTCCGCCCACCTCCCCCGGGCACTTCTTAAAGCTTTGTCCTGACCACTGGCGGCTCGGAGCTGGGACGTAGGCTAGCCAAGTGCAAGAGGTCTCCCTCTAGAAGAAGCGCCGATTGGCTCCTCCAGCCCGGGCGCTCCGGCCCTGTTGCGTAGTCGAGTGGTGGCAGTGGAGGGACAGTTTGTTTTGAGCACCGAGTGGGGCACACCCGGAAGTGGCGCTTACAGGAGCTGCGCCCATGCCGGGCTCGGCTACTGGAGGTACACAGAGAAGTGGACCCCCCGGTACTCGATAGCGTGTCAGCCGAGAGTGCAGTAGGGCTGGGGGTGGGAGCCAGCTTCCTTCTGGCTGTGGTTCTGTGGTGGTAGATCCGGCTGGGTTGTGGGAGGCCAGGGCCTTGCGGGGATGACCGGGCTGGTGAAGGGGCGCTGCGGTCCAAAGGGAGCCGACAGCACTTCATTGGCTTTCTGGGGACTCGGTGTCTTCAGGTCACTGACTCTCCTCCCACTTCTCGGCAGGCGAGTTGGGGGTTGTACTAGTGAGGTGGTTGCCCTGGAGCTGAGAGGCCACTGAGTTTTTTCTGCTTTTGGGAGGAGGCGAGCGGCTGCTTTGGTGGGGACTTACTTTTCGGCCTCATCTACCCTTCTTGATTTTTTTTTTCCTTCGCTGCACCATCGACTCAGTTCTAATATTTCTGTCTTTACAGCTTCTGACTTTGACTCCTCTACACCTTAAACGATGCTGGAGTCATATGTGACTCCAATTTTAATGAGCTATGTGAATCGCTATATTAAGAATTTAAAGCCATCAGATCTACAGCTTTCGCTATGGGGTGGAGATGTGGTTCTCAGCAAGCTCGAGTTAAAGTTGGATGTGCTGGAACAGGTAAATTATGTAATTGTCATTGATTGGACACATTTTCAGCTTGTTTAGAAGTAATCCGTTGTTTCCTACACTTTGACTTTATGTTTTAAAAACTCCTCTGCTAATGTATTTTGGCTACCCTAAAACTAGACACCTTTCTTTACAGAATATTTTTTATGGTTTTTTACTAGTGATGGTTTATTAGATTCTGATTCCCAAAAGTTACCTCATCAACTAGGAAAACAATTTCATTGTACTTGTCAGGATTGCTCAACCTATTCACTCAATTCTCAAGCCTTACCGAATATGCTAATTTACCTTGCTAAGATTCTGTATGATGCTAAAAAGGAATACATTTCCATTCTCTTTTTGAGGAATGGAAGAGTCTGAAAGACAGTAAGATGTTAAGGGAAGTTCTGTCTCTTAATAGGAAAGATGACGTTTACCAGTGGCATCCTCACGGTATTTGAGTGACACAGATTAAGAATGCCAGCAAAATTGAAAACTTTTAAAGTAACTTCTTTTTTCAGTTTTTCTTTCTCCAAATGTGAGAATGCTGTGATACAAAATGAACTGTAACTTCAAAATTCATGTAGTTATTACTTCATTTAATGCTAACATATGCCAGGCAACTCTGTTAGGCTTGAGGATACAAACAATCTGTGGAAACTCAGAAGAGTCAGAGACCAACTACTTTTTAGGAGGTAGGGAAATGTTTAATATGCTGGTGATAGTTATGAATAATTTTTGTTATATTCCACTGTTTCCTCTGTTATTAAGTAATCTAGAGTTAACACTAAAAAATAATACTCTGGTTCCTTCCCCTTTTCCCCTCCCAGGTTATTTATCTTATGGGCAAAAATGCTAAGTATGCAGTGTAATTTATACATATGTACACACCTGTGTAACTATCCAGATCAAGATGCAGAATATTTCCTCCACCCCAAGTAGCTCTCTCGTGCCCCTTTGTAATCAGTATCTCCCAGCCCCCCAAATAGATGACTGTTGTTCTGACTTCTATCAATATAGATAAATATTACCTGTTCTTGAATTGTAAATAAATGGGAATTGTGACTGGCTTCTGTTCTTCCATATTATGGCTAATATGAACTCATGTTGAGTGGTAGCTTGTTCTTTGTATTGCCTTGTAGTATTCCATTTTATAAAGATTCACAGTTTATTTATTTATTTTACTATTGATATACATTTGGATTGTTTCTGCTTTTGGCTATTGTGAAGAAAGCTCTTGTGAATTTTTTTAAAAATTTGTTGATTTTAAAGAGAGGAAAGGGGAGGAGGGAGAGAGAGAAAGGAAAAAAGAAGAAAAGAAAGAAAGAAAGAAACATTGATTTGTTGTTCCACTTATTTATGCATTTATTGGTTGATTCTTACATGTGTTTTGACCAGGAATCTAACTTACAACCTTGGTGTATCAAGACGCTCTAACCCACTGAGCTACCTGGACAGGGCTTACGAACATTCTTGTACATGTACTTTGGTGCACATAGGTATCTCTTAGGAGGGAAATTAATTTTTCCTCCCTAGGAGGTACTTATGTGTTTTAGCTTTAATGGATATTGCCAAATAGTTTTCTGCAGTGATTGTACCCATTTACAGTCTCACCAACAATGTATGAGGGTTCCCAGTTACTTCACACTTACGTTATTATTTGATGTTTGGTATTTTAGTCTTTTTTGTGGGTGTGTAGTGGTACCTCATAATTAAAAATTATACTTCCCTAATGATTAATAATGTTGAGCACTTTCATGTGTTCATTGACCATTTGGATATGCTTTTTTGTAAAGTTTCTGATTCTTTTGCCTTTTTTTAAAAAATTGCATTTTCTGTCTTTTACTTATTGTATGAATTCTTTGTATATTTTGGAAATAAGTCATTTGACAAATAGATGTTTTGCAATATCTTCTCCCAGTGTGTGGCTTGTCTTTTTGCTCTCTTAAAAGTGTCTTTTGATGAACAGAGTTCATATTATTGAGGTCCAGTTTATCAATTTTTTCCTTTAACTTTTCATGTCTTGTTTAAGATATCTTTGATTACTTCAATGCAAAGATACTTCTCTACGTTTCCTTTTAGAAGCTTAGTTGTTTTCTATGATTCATCTAAAATTACTTTTCTGCACTTGAGAAGTAGAACTCAAGGTTCAATAATTTTCCATTGATTTTCAGTTAACGTACTCCATCTGTTGAACCATTTTTTCCCTATTGAATTATAGTACGTCTTTGTGCAAATCAGCTTGTGATTTGTGTGGACTGATTTCTGAATTCTTTATCTGTTCAGTGGTCTGTCTGTTCTTGTGTCACTACCATATTGACTTTAGAGTGATAGTGTAATTTGTACAACTTTGTTCTTTTTTCCTTAAAGGTCATCATATCTATTTTAGGTCCTTTGTATTTCAATATACATTTAAATTTCAGCTTGTACATGGTAGAATTTCCTGGAAAAGGGAAACCCATTGACCTTTTTAATTGAGGTTACATTGAATCTATAGATTAATTTGGGAGGAAGTAATATGTGAACATATATTGTGTTGACATAGTATTAAGTTTTTTTTTTTAAGATTTTATTTTTTTATTTTAGGCATGAGGAAGGAAGGGAGGGAGAAAGAGAGGGAGAGAAACATCAGTGTATAGTTGCCTCTTGCGTGCCCCACACCGGTGACCTGACCTGGCCTGGCCCGCAACCAAGGCAGCACCCTGACGAGGAATCAAACTGACAACTCTTTGCTTCCCAAGCTGGCGCTCAATCCACTGAGCCACACCAGCTAAGGCAGTATTAAGTTTTTTTTAAAAAAAGTATTTGTGGCTCTTCCTGAACCTTTATTTATTTTAAAAAAATGTGTATTTATTTTAGAGAGAGAAGAAGGGAGAGGGAGAGAGAGAGAAACATTGATTTGAGAGAAAAACATCGATTGGTTTCCTCCTGCATGTACCCTTACTGGGGATTGAACCTATAACCTAGGCATGTGCCCTCACCAGGAATCAAACCCGCAACCATTTGGTATATGGGATGACACTCAACCAACTGAGCTACCCAGCCTGGGCTCTTCTTAGAATATTATAGTTTTAACTCTGTAACATTGAGATCTTTGATTCATTTTGAGTTAATTTCTGTATGTGGTATAAGGATCCAGCTTCATATGTTTTTTGCATGTGGATATTCAGAATTCTAAACATGTGTGTTAAACTGTCCTTTCCCCACTGAATGGTCTTTCTTCTGAAAAAATCAGTTGGCCATAGATGTGACAGTTTATTTCTGGGCTTTAAATCTGCATTGGATTGAATGTCTTTCTTTTTGTTAGTATCACATTGTTTTGATTACTGTAGCTTTGTAGTATGTTTTGAAATCAGGAAGTGAGAAATCTGCAACTTTCTTTATTAGTGTTTTAATTTTTTAAAAATTGATATTAGAGCCCTGGCTGGCGTAGCTCAGTGGATTGAGCGCAGGCTGCGAACCAAACTGTCGCAGGTTTGATTCCCAGTCAGGGCACATGCCTGGGTTGCAGGCCATGACCCCTAGCAACCGCACATTGATGTTTCTCTCTCTCTCTATCTCCCTCCCTTCCCTCTCTAAAAATAAATAAATAAAATCTTTAAAAAAATAAAAAAAAATTAATATTAGAGAGACAGAGGAGTGGGGAGGTGGGGTGGGGGGACAGAGAGAGAGAGAGAAAAAAACATCAATTTGTTGTTCCACTTATTTATATGGTCATTGGTTTCTTCTGGTTTCTTATTTATATGGTCATTGGTTTCTTCTGGTTTGACCAGGGATCAAACCCACAACCTTGGCGTATGAGGATGACGCTGTAACCAGCAGACCTACTTGGCCTGGACTATTAGTTTTTTAAATGTTAGGTAAAATCAACCATGAAGTCATGAGGATCAGAAGGTTTTTTTTTTGTTGTTGGAAAGTTTTGTACTACTGATTTAATTTCTTAACAGATACATGACTATTTAGACTTCTATAATTCCATTTGTTAGTGATTAGTTATGCTTTTCAAGGAATTTTTTAAAATATATTTTATTCATTTTGCTATTACAGTTGTACCATTTTTTTTTCCCCTTTATTCTCCTCTGCCCTGCACCCCTCTCCCACTAGCATTCCCCCACCTTAGTTCCTGGCCATGGGCCAAACATAAGTTCTTTGGCTTTTCCATTTCCCATACTATTCTTAACCTCCCCCTGTCTATTTTTATATCTAATCTATGCTTCTTATTCCCTGCACCTTTTCCCCCATTCACCCCCTTCCTCCTCCTACTGATAACTCTCCATGGGATCTCCATTTCTGTGATTCTGTTCCTGTTCTAGTAGTTTGCTTAGTTTGTTTTTTTGTTTTTTAGGTTCAGTTGTTGACAGTGGTAAGTTTGTTGTCATTTTACTGTTCATATTTTTTATCATCTTTTTCTTAGATAAGTCCCTTTAACATTTCATATAATAAGGGCTTGGTGGTGATGAACTCTTTTAACTTGACCTTATCTGGGAAGCACTTTATCTGCCCTCCCATTCTGAATGATAGCTTTGTTGGGTAGAGTATAATCTTGGATGTAGGTCCTTGCCTTTCATGACTTGAATACTTCTTTCCAGCTCCTCCTTGCCTGTAGGGCATTCCTTTGTAGGTAACTGTCTCCTTTTCTGTTGCAGCTTTTAAGATTCTCTCCTTATCTTTAGTCTTGAGTAATGCAATTATGATGTGCCTTGGTGTGTGCTTCCTTGGGTCCAACTTCTTTGGGACTGTGAGCTTCCTGGACCTCCTGGAAGTCTATTTCCTTTGCCAGACTGGGGAAATTTTCCTTCATTATTTTTTCAAATACATTTTTAACTTCTTGCTCTTCCTCTTCTTCTGGCGCCCCTATGATTTGGATGTTGTAACATTTAACGTTGTCTCAGAAGTTCCTAAGGCTCTCTTCATTTTTTTGAGTTCTTGTTTCTTCATTCTGTTCTGGTTGAATGTATATTTCTTCCTTCTAGTCCAAACCATCAATTTGAGTTCTGGTTTCCTTCCCTTCA